GTACTCTTAGCGCTAATAATAATATTAGTTGAATACTACTAATACTACTACTACGACGACTACTACTACTACTACTACTACTACTACTACTACTACTACTACGACTACACATCGACTACTACTACTACTACTACTACTACTGCTACGACGACTTCTACTACTATTATTAGAATCATTCTGCTGATTGATCTGAGTCGCATTCTTATTACTATTAGTGATATTGTCGTAATATTTGTATTATCCGTATATGTATGATTCGCAGTATCCCTACTGATATGATGAAAAATACGATCAACTGCATTCAAATGTTTATTCTTCCGACTATCAATACTATTCGTTTTGGCAGTCGTGGTGTTGATAGTATTCGTCGTATTGGTACGAGTGTGCTTAATACTAGAAGTAGTCGTCGTAGTCGTCGTACTCTTAGCGCTAATAATAATATTAGTTGAATGTATCGTATTATTGCTATTATTCGTAAAATGAATATGAATTTGATTCGTCTCCGTCTTATTATTACTACTCTTACCCATAGTAGTATTATTGATACTGGTATTAATGTTGCTGATAGTACTACAAATGTTCGTCGTATTATTCGTCCGCTGCTCCTTATCAATGCCATGAGTGCTAGAAATGCTCGTATTCTTCATTTTCTTGGTAGTATTAATATAGTCATTGGTTGTCTTATTCTTCTTAGCGTGATCATTTCATTCGCTGTATTGATCGTAGTGGTCGCATTCGTCGTGATATTATTCCGCAAACACCTCCTTCTCCTTTCGTCTCAGTCGTAGCATCGTCATTCCTCATAATATTATGAATAGTATTAGTGGTTTCCGCATTCGTCTGTCTAGTCTCATCATTAGTACCAGTATTAGCATTCGCATAAATATGGTTACTAGTAATATGAGTCGTCTTCCTCTTATAAATAAGCATATTACTATACATGTGAACAGTATTCATATTCTTGTTATGAGTATTACTATTTATAGTACTCATCCTCCTCCTCCTCCATTACCTCCTCCTCCTCCTCCTCCTCGTCCTCTCCTCCTCTTCCTCCTCCTCCTCCTCCTCATCCTCCTCCGCCTCCTCCTCCTAGATCGGGGGGCCACAGGCAGCGGCTCAGCCCATAGGCTCGCGGCGGTAGGAGAAGGGGGAGGAGATGGAGAAGGAGCAGACACCTCTATCCATCCCTCCCTCCCTCCCTTCTTCCCCACATTTCCCTCCTTATCCACCTCACCTTTCTCATCAGCCCCCCTGCTTCTCCCTCCTCCTCCTCCGCCTCCTCCGCCTCCTCCTCCGCCTCATCCTCCTCCTCCTCCCCTTCCTCCATTCCTTCACCTTATACTTAACATGTCCCGGACGCACCCCGAGGCCAGTCGGGAGGGCGGGCAGGACGTATCGCCGGAGACTTCCTCACAAGATACAATCCTGAAGCGGAAACATTGGATACAATCTCACACCTGGACAGCGGGTGTTTATCAAAATGTGGCGCTCGCCGAAGAGCCGCGCACCTTGCATCTCAGTGCGGACGTGCCGACGGCGACGGCGCAAGATGCGGGGCAGGAGCGGGGCGGGGCGCACGTCGCGCGCGAGGGGGCGACCCGTCACTGTCGCCTCGGCGCCGCGCGCAGATGTCCTGAAGAGTCAGGTCCCGCTCGAGCGCGGCGCACGTGTCTCGCACGCCAGCTGGCCGACGCGCGTGCGGACGATGCTGTCGCTCTCGCCTCGGCGTGCTTGACTGTGGCGCTGCCGCCCCAGCGCGGCGCATGATCCATCTTTTTTCACCAGCAGAGCCGTTCGGGGCGGGGCGGCGCGCGAGCGGGAGACGTGTCGCACTCGCCCAGGCCCCGTGCAGACTTCGCCTGGGAGTGGCGTTCCCGCGCGGACGCAGCACAATGCACGGTCGCCGAGTCGCATGACAACGGCAGCGGCGTCGGGACCGCGCGAGAACGGACGAAAGGCGGTCCTCGCCTAGGCGCCGCGCAGCCCGTGCGCGAAAGTGGCAGGGCTGCTTCGGCGCGGCGCATGATTCGTCCGACGCCACGCGTACCCGAAGGCTGGCCGCTGAAAAGCGAAGCCTGAAGGGTGCTCTCGCCGCCGCGACGCCCGAGGATTTTCCCAACTTGCGCTCCCACCCGTGCGCCCCACCCCTTTTCCCCCCTCGTCAAGTCGCCGGCAACGGGACCGCGCGCGAGCGCTCTCAATTCGCTGCGTTCAGGTCGGGCATGTCCCCCTACAGGCGGATGTTGGCTGAAAAGTAAACATGGTCGTCCCACGAACCCCGAAAGGAATATGGAAATGTAAGGCATGGCAACGTTTCAAAGACACCTGATTGGGCGACGGGCAGATGCAATGCTGAATGCATCGATCTTGATGTACCGTGCCGAGGGCTGTGCTGTGCTGCGCCGTGCTGAATTGCGATGTGCCATGCCGCGATTGTGCTCTATAGCGTTGTGGATCGAGTCATCATTTGCATCCGAGTCCTGACCGAAGTGATCTGGATCTTAAGCTCGAGCTGCCTGAGCACATAGTAGCTGCCCCAGAGCTCATTGACAAGGGGACACGCCAGGAGGACGTGCCGCGGAATATCCCAATGGGACACGCCAAACGACGTGCCAGGGGACGTGCCACGGGGACGCACCGCGGGACGTGTCACGGGGACGCGCTACGGAACGTGCCAGTGGACGTGCCACGGGACGTGCCAAGGGACGCGCCGCGCGACGTGCCAGGGGGACTCGCTACGGGACGCGCCACGGAACGTGCCAGGGAACGTGCCAGGCTGCAATGCTGAGTGTATCGATCTTGATGTACCGTGCCGAGGGCTATGCTGTGCTGCGTCGTGCTGAATTGCGATGTGCCATGCCGCGGTTGTGCTCTATAGCGTTGTGGATCGAGTCATCATTTGCATCCGAGTCCTGACCGAAGTGATCTGGATCTTAAGCTCGAGCTGCCTGAGCACATAGTAGCTGCCCTGGAGCTACTCGACAAGGGAACATGCCAGGAAGACGCGCCGCCGAATGTCCCAAGGGACGCGCCAAACGACGTGCCAGAGGACGTGCCACGGGGACGCACCGCGTGACGTGCCAAGAGGACGCGCTACGGAACGTGCCAATGGACGTGCCACGGGACGTGCCAGGGGACGCGCCGCGCGACGTGCCAGGGGGACTCGCCACGGTACGCGCCACGGAGGAACGTGCCAGGTTGCAATGCTGAGTGGATCGATCTTGATGTACCGTGCCGAGGGCTGTGCTGTGCTGCGCCGTGCTGAATTGCGATGTGCCATGCCGCGGTTGTGCTCTATAGTGTTGTGGATAAAGTCATCCTTTGCATCCGAGTCCTGACCGAACTAATCTGGATCTTAGGCTCGAGCTGCCTGAGCACCTAGTAGCTGCCCCAGAGCTAATCGACAGGGGAGCATGCCAGGAGGACGTGCCGCGGAGCGTCCCACGGGACACGCCAAACGACGTGCCAGGGGACGTGCCACGGGGACGCACCGCGGGACGTGCCAAGGGGACGCGCTACGGAACGTGCTGGGGGGGCAAGCGTTTCGCTCTAGACATCCTGCCCGAATCCTCATGCTAGACATCCGCCTGGGAGTCCTGGATACGTGCTCGAGACATCCTAAACACATCCTCATGCTAGACATCTGCCTGGCCAGCCTGGACGCGTGAAACCAAGCGTCTCGCTCGAGACATCCTCAAGATCTGGGCACGTGAAAATAATCGTTTCACCTGAGACATCCTCTGAATTCTGGTCTCCAGGAAAAGACCAATCTATAACACACAACAACCGTTTCGCTCGAGACGTCCTCAACAAATTCTGAATGAATTATACGGCATCTGCGCTCCCAGGGCCACGATCCCTCGTGAATTACGTGGCGCCCGCGCTCCCAGGGCCACAATTCCTCGTAAATTACGCGGCACCCGCGCTCCCAAGGCCGCAATCCCTTTGAATTTATACTGGATTTGCGCTCCCAAAACCGCGATCCATCGTAAATTTCCCTTGCTTTGCGCTCCAAAAGCCGCACCCTCTCCTAAATTACGCAGCCCCTGCACTCCCAGGGCCCCGAGCCCTTGTAAATTACACTGGGTCCGCGCTCCCAGGGCCCCGAGCCCTTGAAAAATTACGCGGCGTGCGCGCTCCCAAAGCCGCGATCCCTCGTAAAATACGCTAGGTTTGCGATCCAGGTATCCTGGAGCGCCCAGGCCCCAGAATTTCTCCGCGCAGGACGCGCCGTCCTCGAGCGGGCACGCAAAAAGTCAACATTCTCACATTTTTTGTGTCCAGGCTCGAGCTCCAAACTAGGGTTTTTCTCCAGATTCTGCTGAAAATGACCCGCGCCCTCTTTTACGAAGGAAAACGGAAGTCTGAAGACCCCGTTATTTATCGAGTATCCGAGATAGGGGGGCGCAATTTCCTCGAGCGGACGCGCGAAACGCAAGTTTTCCACGCCGAATTGGACTTTACCTCTTTTTCAATCGAACGAAGTCAGCCGGCCTCCCCCCGGTTCCTTAACATACTAAAAGAGAACCCAGGGCCTATGCCATTTCCGGTCAAAAAATGTCACAAATACTCAAAAATACTTTAAAAAGATCGTCCCCATCATTTTTTGACTATTTTTGGAAATTCCTTCTGTAGAGGTACAGGCCCGACTGAACGCAACGTGGCAACGCCTGTGATGGGAGCGTGGGTGGGCGTGGGCGGGACCCACTGACTCGCGCGACCCAGCTAACTCGACTCCTGCTCCTCGTGCTCATCATCCTCCTCCCTCTCCACGCTCCCCTCCCCGCCCCTTCCCCCTCCTCCCCCCCTCCTCCCCTGCAGACACAAAACACGCGACGACGTCGTCGACGACGACGACCAGCCACCAGTGACTGGCGCCTGGCGTATGGCATCGACGACGACGACGACGACGACGACGACGACGACGACGACGACGACGACCTCGACGGCGACGACCGCGGGAGCGCGGAACGCGGGGCGCGGGGCTGCGCGCGCCCGGCCTGATCACCAAGGCCACCTCTCTGCTGCTCTCGCTGCCGCTGCCTGGCCCGCGGCATCTCACGGTGCGAGAGAACTGCGTGTTTCTCCGACCAGCGATGGGTCCCCCAGGGGGGTAAGGACCACAGCTCCCCCAGTTGTGGCTGGCCTGTTTCTGATAGAGGGCGAAAAATCCACCCCCAATGATAACCGCCCCGACACGCGAAGCCGTTTAGTGAACGCCCCCGCTGAAGGAATCGAACAGTGGCAGGGCTGCCCAGTAAACGCCCAGGGCCGTTCAGTACATGCCAATGGTCCGGTGCAGGTGGTACTTCCTCCCCTGACGTGAAGCCGGATCCGGCGCAACCAGAAACTGCGCGTCTTCGAAGCCGGATCCGGCTACAAGCACACGCAGGTCACCAGGGACACCACTCTGCTGCTCTCGCCGCCGCTGCCCGGCCCGCGGCGCGCCCCTGGGGCGCGCGGGCTGCGGCCCCCCGGGGCGCGCAGGCCGCCGCTCCCAGACCCGCGGTGGCGCCCACTGCGGCCGCGAAGCGCGCCCACGGCGGCCGAGACGGCGGCTCTCTCGGCGCCGCTGCTTGGGCCCCCCGGGTGGCCGCGGTGCCGCTGTGGGCCCGAGGACAGGAGGGGCCACAGCACACGTCGGTCGGCGGAGGAGGAGGGGAGGGAGGAGGAGGGAGGAGGGGGAGGAGGGGGAGGAGGGAGGAGGAGTTTTTTTTTTTCCCGCGCGGGCGAGCATCAAAATTCCATCCAGGTCCGTAAACAGTGAGCAGCAGCAGCGCGGCGGCGGGCAATGCCCGCCACAACCCGGGCACGACACACGCCTAGACAAAATCGAGAGGCAGGCACCCTACCTCCCAGAGAGGCGCAGCGGGCACAGTTGATCAGGCCGTCGACGGGGCGGGCGGCGGGGGCGGCAGGTAGCGGCGGGGCGGTTGCACGCACGCCCCCGCGCGCGCTCCCCCAGCCAGGCGGGGGCCCAACCCCAGCAGCACCAGCACACGCACGGAGGAGCAAGCAGCAGGAGGACCGAGGGGGCGGGCCGGGAGAAAGGCAGGGGAAAGAGGGGAAGGCAGTGGCGGGAAAAACCGAGGACCCAACAACGCCCACCCCGCAGGGGAGGGGCAGCGGCAGAGGCTGGGAGACGGAAGACAGCAAGCGACAGGAGAGACAAGGGAACACAGAGACAAGCACTAGAGCACACGCGCGAGAGATGAGAGGGGGCGGGCACACTCAGACGACACCACTTCACGAGTTAGCCCACCCAATACACTGTGCCCAGTACTGCCGTGCCACAATCAAATCACGCATGGCGTCAAGGATTTGGTCGGTGTCCCTCTTACCCCCCGCGCATGTACTGGACTCCAGTGCACAACGGGAGGCCGATCTTCGTTCACCCGTGAGATACCGAGGTACACTCCGACGACATCACTTCACGTGGCAGCCCGCACAATACGCCGTGCCCTGAACTGTCGTGCAACACCAGTATACCGACGAGCCAGAAGACGCAATCGGGCCACGAAAACCTGGGACGAGGGGACCTGTATCAAGCGCCGATGATGGGCGTGTGTCTTTAGAAATGCATCGATGAAGCCAGCACTGGCAACGTCGCGGTCGAGCCCCCAGGAAGGTCCCATCAGACATAGACAGGTAAGCCAGGTATCTCGGTGCTGCCGCATCTCCCTCCATGGCGCGGGTAAAGCTTCCAACCCAGGGAGACGGTGCAGTGCAAGGTCGCGGAATCGATCGCAGATTCTGTAGTGGTGGAGGTCATCGGGGGCCACACACCCAAAGCAGCACCCACGGTCATTCGCATGAAACCGTGCCGAAGTACAAACGCCCCTGGACAGTACACGGAGAACGTTGGTAGCCAGATGGGTGCACGCGGCACGCTCCACTGCGCGTAACCTTGTCCGCAGACGGAACATATCCTCGAGAGATGCAGCAACTAACCACCTCGATATCCGTACACTCAGACGCAACAGGGGAGGGGCAGCCATACGAACCGACCGTAAGTGCCTATGGACCTTGACCTGGATAAGACGGGCAGTTCGATCAATGGGAGAGTTCGCGAGGTCCGCAGCATCCTCATTCGTCGTGCGTATCATCGAATGGCACCACCACCCAGAGAACACACGGGCAGGAATAAATTCATCATCAGCCAAGCCACTAGATAAGCCATCTAACTCATAAAGCGCATCATCGAATGCCTTGCACCGCATTATCACCCGGAATTTCGTAGCTTTATCATACAGTCCCAGGTCCACGAATTCAAGTGAGATCCCAAGGTCACGTAGCTGGGTGAGCATAGTGTAGTTCAATGCATGCCGAGGTCCCGCTGCTAGTATCTGCAATGCTTCCCTATACTGACGCCGAACCCCTGGGGTGACCCTCACCGGCTGAATCCGACACTGCAAGACGGAGAGGCAATTAGAATGGAACAAGCGGATGGTGGTCGCCAACCAAGCCCAGCGAGAGAGAGCGAAGAAGACGAACTCGCTGCCAGAACTTATTCATCGTTTCCACCCAGGCCACCTCATGGGCCGATGGGCCCACCCAGAATCCGAGGTACCAAACTCGGGTGGCGAAACGGATTGAGGCGAAACGGCTGCCTTTCCGAGTCATGTGAGCAGCCAGGGCATCTCCACTCAGCGTCCCGCAGATCAGGACGCAGCATTTCCCCACATTCAATGAGAGACCAATCGCGGAAGAGAGCAAGTCGAGAAGCAGCAAGGTGGGCATGAGATCGATGAGAGTGTCACATAGACCAAAGCAGCAATCATCAACGCACGCCAATTGGACACCTACCCGTTCGACACGGCGGGCACGGATCCAGCGCAGCACGGGGTCCAGGGCCAGTGCAAAGAGTGTCATAGACGCAGGATCCCCCTGCCGCACACCTCGTTCCACAGGGAAAACAGTTTCCGCAGCGCCCTCAAAGCATGCCAGGGCCGCATTCTTGGCGTATAGGGCTGTGAAGAAACCCACGGTCTCACTGGGAACCCCCATGGCCACCAAAACGGCAAAAATCCACTCGGCCGGGATCGACGGGAACGCCGCCTCGAAATCGGTGAACAAGACCCCCGCCTTCTCTCTCCCACACATGTGTTGGATAAGGCCCCATTTTTCTACTTCCACGACATTGTCTAGTATGTTACGCCCTCGAACCCCACCACGCTGGGAGACATCCACCGTCTCCGGAGCGACGTCATTGAGTCCCAAACAGAAGGCATCGGAGAGCATCTTCGCATCCGTATTCGCCAGGGAGAGCGGGCGGGTGGAGGCAGGTGCACGAGAGACAAAGTCGCTGCGATCCCTGGGGCGGCTGCCCTTCGGGGGGAACACCATACGACGAACCCGACACTCAGAGGGGAGAGCCCCTCCTGCACTGTTGAAAACCTCCTCGTAAACCTCGAATCAAGCACCGGTCGCCTCAGGGACCTTCCAGCACCCATACGGGATCCCGTCAGGGCCAGGAGCAGAATGAAACTTATGGCCAACACGGCCCCGAAATTCATCCGCGTCAAGTTTCCACCGTGGGGCAGTAGTACAGTCGCCAATAGTCTGAACATGGGTCAGGTCGTAATCAGCCCGTGCAAAGACCTCACTCCAATGGGCAACCAGTGCCGCAGAAGCCGCTTCTGGGGAGGTACACGGGGTCCCGCTCTCGTCCAGAAACAGTCCTGTCCTCTTCCTCATGAGATCCCACCCACGCCTAAGAGCAACCAGCCTCCGCCTCTTCTTGGTCCTGACCTCATCCACTTGGTTACTATGATCCAACTCCTCCAATTCCGCATCAAACCAGCGCCCCTTCAAGGTTAGTACCAAACTGTGGAGGCCATCAGGATCAGCGCACACACCGCCGTCGACGTCGAAGAAAGGCAGGAGAGAAGCGCAGCAGCGGATGGCACGAAGACAGAGATACCACTGCCGACCCCTCCACCCACGGTATGCCATGAACGCAAAGTGGAGCCGTTCCGCATCGTTGCCCGCTGGTCGACACTAAAGGGCCTTCTTAAATTCCACAGCTGCCGCACCAAAGAGTTCTTTCACCCTCGCGAGTTTCTGAGCGGAGTCCGATGGGAGCGTCAGCCCCCGAAGCTGTTCGGAAACTATTCTGTGGTAGTCGGCATGCTGGCTGATCCATTTCGGAACCGAGAAACGACCCTTCGGGGTCGGGAGGGAAACAGTGGCAGTCACGGGAATGTGATCGGAGGAGGCCTCTGGATGCATGAGGGTGCCGACAGCGTTGACAACAACGGTCATCTCATTGAGAATACCTGCAGGAAGGGTCGTGTAAATCCGATCTTACCTGGCCAGCCCCCTCAGTTCCCGATTCACAATATCCCTTCTGGCCGGGTCGGGGTGGTACAATTCACACCAGTGGCTACAATGCACCTGAAAAGCATCACATTGCAAACGGCCCCCAGGCCCAACCTCCCCAGATACAAGAGACCTACCATCCTCCATCGCACAGAAGTTCCAGTCTCCCAGAATGAAAACCATGGTATGCGCTGCCGCAGGAAGGGCGGCATTGATGAGGCGTAAATACTGATGATAGATACGAGCGTCATCGCACGTGTTAGGCATATGTACATTGACCACTACCAAGTCGCCCCGTGGTCCCCGACAATGGACAAGTAACACTCGCCCAGGAACGACCGTAATCGGAGCGATCGAGTCGAAGCAGTCACAGAGTTCCGAAGACAGGGAGGTCACCACTCCCCCCGCGCTCCGATCCTCAAGAAAGCCCCCAACAATGTGCCCAGTCCGCATTTCGTCCCGAAGGATAACCAAGTCTGCTTCAGATACGTGCGTCTCCTGTAAACACATGACCTGATACTGTGATAGCAGCTGCTTAGCCCGAAGGAAGCGCGAACGTGACCGAGATGAACGAGACGAGAGAGAGGCGAAGAGCGCGCGCGTGTTCCAACTGCAGAGAGACAGAGGACGGGCCGGACGGTAGACACAACCAACTTCCCCAGCAGGCGGCGAGAAGGATAAAGCACTGTCACTTGCATGGAGCACGCCAAACTGGGCGGAGA